GGATGAACATCCATAAATCCCAGCTATTTTGATGTTCACCAGGGGTACCAGGTTTTGACACACTGCCATATAAATACACCTAAGTGAAACGAACGAGCGTGTGTGGCCAGCCCTCTGAGCGCCGACTGTGTCGAAATTGTCACTTAAGATAAGCACAGAAAAAATCATACACAATATATAATCATAGTAATAATAGTAGTAATAATAATAATGATGATGATAATTATAACAATAATAATAACAATAATAATAAATAATACTGTAACTCTTTGCAAACAATCTATCCCGAAACTTTTCTTTCTCATGCTGACCCGGCTGACATATCCCACTTCCAGGCCTGGCTGTGAGTGAACTTTTTGGAGATCTGCGCGGCGACGAACGCAGAGATTTCTGGACTTGGACACTTTCAATATCTTTCAATATTCAGAAAAACATCTGAATATATTCAGTATCTCACGAAAAAACAGCAAAGTAACATCCAATTCAAAAACACAAATATCATCAAATATCATAAATCCAACCTTTTTGTAGTTTTTTCTATCGTTTTGGGACTTCCTGTACAACTCCCTCCGTTCGCAGCGGATCGGCGGTCAAAGGGTGGCAATGATTAGAATATCAGAATGATCATCATCAACGACCTATTCATCTCTTAAACTCCGGATGAATAACCCCCTGGGCTCACTTTAGTAGCAGGTTATCATAGATTATCACCTCTTGGGGAGAACTCCCCCCAAAAGAACAAACCAGGGTTTGTCAATCCAGGGTTGACATTATCTTGGTTGATGCGAACTCTTTGCTTTGTTGGCTGAACCCTCTGTGACACCCATGGTGAGGCTCTTTTCTTCACATTGGCACGAGCTAGAGGATGCACCACTGCAGTTGCGACCAGCAATACTTTTGCGCACAGTGATTGAAGCCAACGTGAGACATCTCGGGGCTGTAGGTTGGCTGGGATCATACAGGGTACCACAGTATGGCAACACCTGAATCGATAAAAACAAAATCTAATTCCAAAATAGCCGCAGCGGTAAATTACTTTTCTATCTTTTTGATTCTTTGGTAGTAAAGTGATAATTTTTGGAGGATTTGGTTACCCAAGAGGCCAGTCCGCCGGCACTGCAGTGTCTGCAACAGCATTGAAAAGCTGCCTGACTTAGGCGATCGGGGACTATTGGAAAACGACATAAGATACAGTCCTATTAAAAGAATTTTCTCGGTGCATGAAACGCAGCCACAAATGGCGGAGTCCGGGTTTCATGAGCCGCGTTTCGGCGCAGTCTTCGCTTCAAAACTGCTTGTCCATATTTCTCGATTATCACATATCATAATTAATTATATATTATATATATATATAATATATATGTATAGATCAGATGGTGTGGTTTTCCAAAGTGTCCTGGATCCCCCATGGAATCATGGAATCCATCAAAAGGTGTGACGCCGCTTATGGCACACATTGGCTCTTTGTACAACTGCGTGCTTGTTGCACCACATAGTTTTTGACCCGATGTTGGTGTTCCAAGCAACTTTGAACCATTGGACAATTATGGATAATTGTTGGATGCACACTTCACAGTCCTTTCCTATCGCATCATTCTGTCCTGCGGGGCTAGGATGATCGGGCATGACACACTTTGGCGTCCAAGCCCATCAGGAAGAAATGAAACACCGCAATCGCGTTTACATGGACCATCATGGACCATCATGGACCTCATTGTATCTCATTGACATCTGGTGCCACCTTGGAGTCATCTTTGCTCCAATAAATTGTGGTCTATCTTCCTTTCTCAGACAATTTTGGGTCTAAGAGCAAACTGGGCCGCAATAATCCTCACAAAAGCAACGAGATCTCTCTGCCCTGGCTCCATCTCGGTCGGGGCCGTGGGGCACTGTGGGGCATTTGGAAAAATGATGCATTCAGCCCTATTAACAGGATGCATTCAGCATCATTCAGCCAATGTCGCCTTAGAGCCACCATCCTCTGATTCAGCACTTGCATACACCTTTATATCCTTTATACAACATGTTCATACATGTTCAATCATGTTCATCAGTATTGTGCACCTGTTTCTTTTGGCTAAACGGCTAAACTGCTTCTCCAAGGATTTTCCATCCTTTCCCGCCTCAAAGTCTGAAGTCCTTCACCTTCAGCGACGGCAACGTCAGCTTTGGGATATGGCTGTCGTGCCTGCCGATGGCTGGCCGCAGCCAAGGATGCCATAGGCCCACACTGGATTCACTGATCAACATCTCAAAACAATTGAAGGCATTCCACTCTGCAGAAGACTTAAGATACTTGATGCCGATGCCTTTATACACCTTTCATATCTTTGATCTAGTTTTCAACCCTGTACAAGAACAGTCACAGTGCATTCATCGGTGCACGGGGCAGGCGACAAGGTGATGGGATTGTCGCTCCTGCCATGATGGGCCCCTAACTGTTACTGACTACCTTGGATTGAGACCCCGGTTGGTGAGAATGGGTGGGTCCAGTGGGTCCATTGTGCTCCATTTCAACGGCATCACTTTGAATTCATCAGCCACAGGGCCGATCCTGGAATGAGTTGATTCAAGGACCTTTGATGGTGAAAGATGGCCTCCCCATCTAACCGAACACACAGCTGAATGGCACGGCTGGCAAACGTAGCACAAGGAACAGCAACCGGCGCCCCAGGAAGCACATTAGCCCATTTGTCTTCCTGTCATCCACTTGGGGGCGGACCAATGACTGGTCCCTCGCAACGCACCATGAGTGGGTTGGCCTCAAGGCGCTGCAAGTTGCTCCAATTGGCTGTCAGCCGGATGGTCCGTGTGGAATCTCCTTGCACTACATGTGTTTGTTTCCAGCGGCGGCCCAGTGCGCGTGGCGACCACTCGCACGTGCCATCTTGGGCCACATGTGTTCAGTTCGGTGATCCACAGAATATATCCATGGAAAATCACCTGGGCCCCACACCCGGCCAACGGTGTGCAGAGTGTCATACACTCCGTGGGTAGAGCGGTCTAAAAGGGGCTGGTGATGGCTGGTGATCTGCTTGATCGCTTGCTTCCAGCGCTTCCGGCTTGACCTTGGACAGTGGACATCTCCCCACCTTCAAAGCCTGCCCTGTGGTTGGCTCCAGAAGCATCTGGCAGCTGTCAGCTTTGGGAGGAGGCCATCCCAAGGTTGCAGGATCCTGCAGAGCCAAGGGCGAAGGTGCTGGTTGGGACGGGATCCTCTTGTTGCATGGACTGTAGATACTTGGAACTACACACATATCTTAAAATATATAGTATATTATAGTATCATAATGTCATAGATGCAGATAGAATATATAGAGGATTTAAAACCACTTATTGAAAATCACAGGCTGAGACCGTCCTGCTGCTTGGAATTTGGCGACAGCCACGCGCGGCCGGGAACCAAGTCTGGCTCCTGACCCAGACAATGGAAACTACCAGCCCAAAATATCCCAAAATAGCAACATTGTAACATTCTCGACTAATTAGTTTGACAGTGATTTACTTTTGGGTAGCTTGGTGGAATAGAAGAACAATGAAGAACATTTGCTTCATATTTGATGTTCATAGCTGCTAGCACTTGCCAAAAATCTCTGCAGGACATCATATTTTCTCTGCAGGTGTCAGCAAATCCATGGTCTTTTCGTGAATCCACCTGCGGATATTCGCCTGTAAGTTCAATGATTCACACAAATTTGCTTCATATTTGATGTTCATAGCTGCTAGCACTTGCCAAAAATCTCTGCAGGACATCATATTTTCTCTGCAGGTGTCAGCAAATCCATGGTCTTTTCGTGAATCCACCTGCGGATATTCGCCTGTAAGTTCAATGATTCACACAAACTGTGAGTAAGGGACCATCTATCCAAACACATCTGTCATTAGCTGGTTTGAACCGTAGAGTTTCCCGCAAATATTGTCTTAAATGAACCAATGAATGCATGATATCTTCGATGGAGTCATTCAGGAAACCATGGTAACCATGGTAAGTTTACACCCAAATTTCTGATAAATCTTCTCCAGGATATCTGCAACAGTCCATCCTAAAAAACAACAAGGGACCGCCCAACAGCGCTCCACTCGAACGGGTGACCATGAGCGACAGGAAGCGAAGGTCACGCTTTGCGGCCCGTTTCCTGGATAGATGATATTTGGATACCCATCTATATGATATTATATGATAATGTGTATATATATATATATATGTGTATGTGTATATATATATATACGTATATATATATATAATATCAAATTATATTACATCAGGATTCAGGATTCTCATGAATCATCTATATATTTGAATCAGTTGCATATCAGCCATCTCTTCACCCATTGGGACTCAATGGCATTTTTTTTTGTTTGGATTTGTCCCCCAAACCCATGACCCATCTGCCTCGGGTTGCTACCACACATCTCCTGGTTCTTGTCAACCTCGGCTAAACTCATCCTAGGGATCAACATGTGCAACATGGATCAACATGGGACATATAGCATGAAATACATCACCAACATTCACCAGCCAAAAATCTAGGATCAATGATGAATCAAACCATATCAAACGTCTAAGACCCCCCAGTTGATGTCCCAAGAACCCTCTGTGGCGCCAACAAAAATCCCCGGATATCCCCAGCGGCGCAGAGGGCCCAAGCGGCGCAGAGGGCCCAAGCGGCGCAGAGGGCCCAAGCGGCGCAGAGGGCCCAAGCGGCGCAGGCGGCCCCATGGAAGCTGCAATGTTCGGTACCTGGTGGATGTTCGGTGGCGGAATCATCAATCATCCCAGGATGGGAAAAGCACACAGAGATTCACAGATATTCACAGATACAGCAAACATCAGCAAACAACATCAAACAACGACATTTTTGGAAGTTTAGTGTAGGAAATTCAATGAAACCAACAAGCTCTTTTTCTGAATCGGTGCTGTGATTCTCCTTAAAATCTATGGGCTTCACATGGCTTCACCGCACCTGCCAGGCGTGGCTCAAGTTTCCCATCGAAGCAGATTGGCAGTGGCTCAGTTGCTGGGAGAACACCTCAGCAAATATGCAAGCGAGGAAGACCATGAAAGGGCGCAAGATACATAATGCATCTATACGCATAGTTAACGCATCTATACGCATCTATATGGTCTATACGCATCTATACGCATCTATATGCATCTATATGCATCTATATGCATCTATATGCATCCTGCATCCATATGCATCTAGCATTTCAACAAGTCCCATGGGACAAGTCTCTTGCATCATTATCAGTTGCTGAAATGCTGAGCATTTTGGCATACCAAAAGGACCACTTAAATCGCAATGGGACCACTTATCAGTATTGAACCAACTCTAGGGGCCAACAGTCAACAACTTTGTCTTCTAGGCTTTCCACAGGCTTTGCTTCTGGGGCAGGCATGGGCCGCGCGGTAGCAGTGCCTTGGAGTTCCAAGAGAACTCAAGTGAGCCTGTCAAAAATTTCATTGAGATTATTACATCTGAAAACTATTGAAAATCAACATCTATCATCATCTATCATCCTCTATCATCAAAATAATCTATATTTCTTGTTTGTTTTTGCTGAATTTCCACATTTGAAGGGCCTTTTTTGAGGGCCAATGAGGCCGCTTCAAAGGCGCATTCCAGCTATGAGAGATGCTCCTCAGCAACATCCTGGAAAATCTTATCCAAAACATTGGGGATATTTGGGACTCAAAAGATCTCATAAGGGGCTTATATCTGGCCAGATATTAATTGTTGGGGGTAGTACGGACTCATACAGGGGCTTATTCAACCCCTATTGTTTCGGGAGCACTGTTCGAAGGGTGCCATCAGACTTCCATGAACCCTGTTCAATGCTGGCAAAACACCCGCTGGTTCAGCCAACGCAGGTTGCGTTCGTTGCACACTTGTTGTCGAACATGGCATGGGCATGGAGCGTGTTGCCAGAACCTGACAAATCCAATTATTCAACTGGTGCTGCTGAAGTCTGATTTCCACTCCATCTTTCCAAAAGAAACCGTTTACCTTCATGACAACTTTAAGACAACAAATATAAACATAAACATAAATATATACATACATATAAATAAATATATATATATATATATATAAATAAACATATATATATATATATACACATAAATATATAAACATGAATAGATAAATATAAATAGATTTATATAAATAAATAAACATAAACATAAATATCTAAATATAAATACACATACAAATACAAATATAAATATGAATATATGTAATGTAAATATATATATATATACTAAATTAAGTCTGCTTTCGGATCGCCCTCTTCAAACTCATGAATCTTGCTGGCCCATCCAAAAATCTGACAGCACGCCGCAAGAATCAGCCTGTCTGCTAGGCAAAGAAAGAGTGGGCTTTCGACCTGCTGTGCGTTGCTGCAAGTATTCACCGATCGCAAGGGTATGCTCAATTGGGGTCAACAAAATAGGATGGAAAGTAAACATGTTTGAAAGCACAGGCACGCTACGGTTCAAACATGTTCGACAAACTTGCTTCACCCATAGCTAACCTGGTGCTCCCATGTGCCTGTAACGAGTCTTCGCACAGGGGAGTGGCTTCCTGTGGCTGCAGGATGATACTGCACAAGCCGATCAAACAAAAGACTGTTCTGTTCTTTTTGATTTGACATATTTATCATATTTGAAATTAGCGCTTGCAAACATTTACAAACTATCCGAATCAAACAAAATGAGACTACAGTAAAACACTTCATTGAGCTTTTGTACCCTTATAAACCATATATCTCAAATTGCATCACCAGAATCCACCAGAATCCACCCAGTATTTTCAAGCAAATGCATGTCGAGCCGCTGCTTCTGATCACCTTGGCACACGGCAACACAGTCTGGTCATCGCAGGTTAAGGGTTGGTCGTGAAATAGATGGATCTTCATGGCTGATGCAATCTGGATTTAGATTCTTTAGATATCCAGCACTTCAATTTGAAGTTGTGTTTGTACTTCTTACTTGCTTACAGTTTCCCGGCCAACCCAGGCCATGAAACCACGAGCCACTGATGCACGAAGACAAACAAAAACGACTGGAAAATACTGGAGATTGACCACGAATCCTTTCTACATCCTGCCTCTTTGTTGTCAAGAAACAGGACAGTGTAGTTTCTATTCCAGCAATTCCAGAATCAACCATGCACACCATACCACCTTTCCTGAAGGTGTCTACGTGCACCTTCAGTCGGATCTCCTTGGAACCTCTGAGCTAGCCACAGGATTGAGTGCCGCAGTGCGCGCGGTGGACACAGAGCCTGTAGCAAAATGAACAACCTCTTCAAGGTTTAAAGGTGCAAAACGCAGTGCAACTACAGTGGCAATTTCAAGCACGCTTTTGCACCATAATGCTCGGTGTGCACACAAAAAGCAATGCTGATGTTTTCTGACTTGGGCAAACTGTTGAGAAATTGTTGACTGGTGACTGAAGAAACCTGCAGTTTGGACGGATATATTTGCAATTTTTGGATGACACTTCGCCAGAATTCAAGGGTTTTGCTTCAGTCGTTGTATTGTAGCTTTGGCAAGAGGTGTCCACTTATTGGATGTATCAAAAAAAATCAAATCACCAGTTTTCGGGTGTGGTTGAGGCTCTGAATCCCTCTATCTCTCAGTGTCTCTCAGTGTCTCTCAGTGTCTCTCAGTGTCTCTCTGTCTCTGTGTGTCTCTGTGTGTCTCTGTGTGTCTCTCTCTGTGTCTCTCTCTGTGTCTCTCTCTGTGTCTCTCTCTGTGTCTCTCTCTCTCTCTCTCATCTAATCTAATCTAATCTATCCTATCCTATCCTATCCTATTCTATCCTATCCATCCATCCATCCATCTATCTATCTAATCTAATCTAATCTATCTAATCTATCTAGTCGATCTAATCTATCTCTCTATCTGTCTGTATGTCTGTCTGTCTATCTATCTACCTATGTATCTAATCTACCAACCAATCAATCTACCTATCAATCTATCTATCCGTCCATTTGTCCATCTATCTATATACCTATCTATCTACCTATCTATCTATCCATCTATCCAGTCATTTATCTATCTATTTATTTACCTATTTATCTATCTATCTACCTATTTATTTTTTTGAAATATATCTACCTATCTGATTAAAGTAATTCATCTAATTAATTTAATTAATCGATCTAATCTATCTCATTTTTCTACTCTATCTTATCTATCTTATCTACCCTATCCTTCCTATCCTTCCTATCCGTCCTATCTATCCTATCTACCATATCTATCCCATCTTTCCCATCTATCCCATCTGTCCAATCTTTCCCATCTACCCTATCTTCCCTATCTATCCTATCTCTGCTATCTATATGTTTCATTCCTATCTATGCTATCTATCCTATCTATCCATCTACTTATCTATTTATCTATTTATCTGTCTACCTATCTATCTATCTATCCATCCATTCATGTATCTATCTATATCTATATCTATCTATCTATCTACCTATCCATCTATCTATCTACCTATCCATCTATCTATCTGTCTGTCTGTCTGTCTGTCTATCCGTCTACCCGGCTAGCTGTCTATCTACGTATCTGTCTGTCTGTCTTTCTGTCTGTCTGTCCGGAAGGGGGCTGTGGCACATTCTAACTGTACAATGATTTTCTGAAAACATGGGATAAATGAGATATAGGGAGATATAGGGAAAAATTGTGGTTTTGATTGTGCATTTCTTACTAGAGAATCAGATTTCACATTAGGGAGATATAGGGGGCTGTGGCACATTCCAACTGTACAATGATTTTCTAAAAAACATGATAAAAAATGGTGGTACATGGGAAAAAATGGTGGTTTTGATTGTTTTTCTCATTAGGGAGATATAGGGAGATAGAGGGAGATATAGGGAAAAATTATGGTTTTGATTGTATATTTCTTACTAGAGAATCAAATTTCACATTAGGGAGATATAGGGGGCTGTGGCACATTCTAACTGTACAATGATTTTCTGAAAACGTGATAAAAAAAAGGTGGTACATGGGAAAAATGGTGGTTTTGATTGTTTTTCTCTTTAGGGAGATATAGGGAGATAGAGGGAGATATAGGGAAACATTGTGTTTTTGATTGTGCATTTCTTACTAGAGAATCAGATTTCACATTAGGGAGATATAGGGGGCTGTGGCGCATTCTAACTGCACAATTATTTTCTGAAAAACATGGGAAAATGGTGGTTTTGATTGTTTTTCTCATTAGGGAGATACAGGGAGAAATGGTGGTTTTGATTTTACATTTCTTACTAGAGAATCAGATTTCACATTGGGGAGATATAGGGGGCTGTGGCACACTCTAACTGTACAATGATTTTCTGAAAAACATGGGAGAAAGGGTGGTTTTGATTGTTTTTTCTCATTAGGGAGATATAGGGAGATAGAGGGAGATATAAGGAAAAATTGTGGTTTTGATTGTACATTTCTTACTAGAAAATCAGATTTCACATTAGGGAGATATAGGGGGCTGTGGCACATTCTAACTGTACAATGATTTTCTGACAAGCATGGGAAAAATGGTGGTTTTGATTTTTTTTCTTATCTTGCATCAGGGACTGAAGGGGCTTTCTAACTGTAAATCACAATCCGGTCGAAATCCCAAAGTTAGAACGTGGCGTTTCATGTATTCATGCATCGTTTTTTCCCCTTCCGCGCGTTCCCAAAACGTCATTCTAACTTTCAGTCGGTCAGTATCCATCTGTCTAAAGTATTGCGCTTGCCACGAAAAAGTGAAGAGAGGTCATACGAAGTGTTGCACCTGTCACGGCACGCAAAGCAGCGTATGCTGCAAAATGCAACCCCTCTCCGGAAATCAGCACCCTGACCTCCGAACATCTCTGATGAAGATGTCTCTTGTACTGCGCCTGCCACGCGAAAAGCATCTTTGCAGATCCTCTTCAAACGTCCCACGCCTGGCATCATGTCTGAAAATGCTACAAAACCCACACGTTTAGCTCACTTTTGGCAAGGTGCAGAATCCCGTGCGCCTGCAACGAAACATGACGCTTGAACGTCCAAAACTGGTCCGAACATGTGGTGTCTTCACACTTTTGACTTCGACATGTGCTTTGCGCCACAGCTGCGTGCACTTTTCCCACAGCTCAACTTCCAAAAGTGGTTTGACAATGACCTGTTCTTACCATTTTAATTTCGAAATGTGCCTAGCGCCACCACGGCGTGCACTTTTTGAACAGCTCAACTGCCAAAAGTGCTTGGAACCTGAGGTATTTCAGCATTTTGCCTTGGAAATATGCTGCCACCACGGCCTGCTCTTTTTCAACAACTCAATATCCCAAAGTGCTCCTACCCTGAGGTGTTGTGTGCATTTTGTGCATCGCGCCACAATGGCGTGCAACTTTTCATGTCTCATCTCATCTTACCAGATGGCTCCGCACCCGTCGCTTTAGCGAGCCTACTTTTGGACCCTCCGAAGCCACAGAACATTGGAAAAACACAGTGTTTCCGCGACTTTACTTTACTTTTCTTGATTCTTTCGCGCCCTTCGATCTTCTTTCTGCTCACTCTCTCTTCTGTCTCTTTCTCTTCTGTCTCTTTCTCTTCTGACTCTTTCTCTTCTTCTACTGCTCTCACCATTGCTGCTGCATCTGTCCATAAGTCGGAAGTTTGACTTCTAAACTTCCTTCGATAAAACGCACCCTCAGAAACCATAGTGGATGTAGGGGATGAAATATGGATGTCAAGGATGAAATCACATATTTTTGAAAATCACAAACACCCAAAACGCCATGTCTTTGATGCTGGTGACCCATGGTGACCCGGTGCCCCACCTGGGCTGCGAGAACCGCTGCTGCTTCCTGTTCGTAGCACGTCTCGGAAACAAGCCTATTATTGGGATAATGATTGGGATAATATGGGATAATAATGGGTAATCAAAAAGGTGATCATCAAATATACCCAAGAATGACCCCCAATTGGTTGGCTTCACCGCCTTACTGGCAACCTTTCTCAAACTTGTTGACGTGGCACAGTCTCAAGGTTGGCTATACCACCTAATGCCTCATCAATCCAAAGGTTCATGATGGGTAGTGCCAAGTTCATGCCTTCCCAAGCAATTCAGTGTCAAACATGCACATGGTTGGGACATGTTGGAAACCACAATCATGAAAACTGAAAACACACGTTCCGTGATTGGCTGCTCATGCCCCCATTTCCAACCCATGGTAGCTCATTATATAACATTATATAACCCCCATTTGAATCTTCATGGGTTGAATCCACCCCTTTGCGGCTTGGGGACTGCTGAGTAACTTTCGGCTGGTTGGCGAGGCCTGGCAGTATGGTGGACCATGGTGGACGTCCAATAGTCATTGACCGTCAAAACATGGATGATTTGGGGTACTCAACTTGCTTCATGATAATGCTACTTTCAGCAAACTGCTGACATTTGCTGACAGCCTTGAATCTGCTGTTGCCCAACACTGACTCCTTTCGATCAGTCGATTCTACGGGTAACTTTAAATTCGTCATTCCAGCTCGTTCAAAAATGGCTGTAGAATCTCGCCAATCTAGGGAATGCAACTTTATTTTGTGGGGATACTTCATCTTGGATCCATGATCTTTGGACACCCCCCCAACAAGTCAATGATGGGCCTCTATTACTCACAAATGGGTTTATAGTCCCAATCAGCCCTGGTTGCCCAGTTTTAGGCAGCGATGTGTAGTGATAGCTAATGATAATTCTAACTTCAGTCATAGTAACTCCCCAAAAATAGAAAAGTACAATCCTGCTAAAATAGTGATAAATCAGTTTTCTATACTTTTCTATCTTTCTGGTGGTCATATAGTCTATTCGTCATACCGTGATAGTATAACATGGTCCAAAAAAAGGCCTGTCACTGTTTCAGCCCATGAAGCCTGCCAACTGGCTGAAACGGAGTTGGCATCCAGCTCGGCACACAGCCGAAGGGACTGCAGGTCGTTGCACCACAAAGACCACACCATGTTGGGTGATGATGGATGTGTCATAGTCATGCTGCAATATATTGTAATAATATCATCAAACAAATAGGATTATGAAGTTTGTGAAATCAACAGAAATTGGACCCACAAATCCAGCCCAATGCTTGGTGGATACCACCCGCCTGTGACGTACCAACACCATTTGTGCCTCGGCAACCGATGGCACTGCCAGATTTGGATCCGCTTTGGATGGATTTGCTGGGCTTCCTACATTTGAAACAGTCAGTGTCACATATCAATATCACTATATATACATATACATATATGTATATATATATATGTATATACATATATGTATATGTATTATATGTATATATGTATATGTATATATGTATATGTATATGTATATAGATAGATAGATTATGATAAATTACAGTATATTGGACACATACCCACTTTAAAACTTCGGATCATCGGCTTCAAGGACTGCCAAGATGCTGAGACTCTTGTAATAGGCCAGCTGTGGCCCCACAGCATCCTTGCCGCGACACTGACGACTGTGGACCAGCTGATAGAGGGCACTTCAACTGCGGATATGAACTCCCATCATAGCAGGCATGTTTCGCAGCCTTATATACACACATATATACGTGTGTATATATATACACATTAAATACTTGGATTTATCAGATAATATCATATCAGGTGTATACATATGTCGACATCTGTATGAATACATCATTGACGCAGCTTTCTTCATCAACGTTTGGATCAAACACCAGAAATACAGCAAAAAATAGCAGCAATTTGTTGAGATGGGTTCAAATCAAACTTGGGCAACTTCAAAATGGGATGGCTCGCAGAATCTTCCAATATCATCAGCATCATCCATCTGTTTCTCGATTTTCTCATTCGTCCTCGGTCCTTTCGGTCCTTTCGGTCCTGCTCCCGAAGCCTGCAAGGCGACATCAATGGCTGCCGCTGGTTCTGCCTCTGGGTGGAAATCAGTGGAAATCTTGCCAAAGTAAGTGCAAAACCAAAGCCTTTGCATAAGTTTGACTCCGGACTCAAATCTGCATCTACATTCCATGAATTTCAACCCCTTGCCCTCAGTAAAACAAGTCATCCCTTTAGTGGTTTCAGTGTCCGCAGGGCCCGGTCGCTGTTGAACCCCGTATGGGACTGACTTCAGGACGTATCACAGGCAGCTGGACATGCTTGGCTTTCTTTGGGAGCACCTGGCAGCAAAGGATGTAGCTACCATCAGCCCAGCCGTGCCCAGCCCATCCCAGAATGGCCTGGCACGATTTTGGGTCTCGCTGGAGATGAAGGAGCATCGGAATCCTCAGAGAACTCTCATAGATCTGAGGGCGTCTGAAAGCATTTCACAAGTCTTGTAGCCAAAAAATACGACTTGCCAATTTTTGACCATTGAATTTGGACAACCTTTTCTGGGATATCTAAACATATCTATGGATATCTTGGATCGATGATGAACATGATATGAACATGTTGACTCCTCACCACCGATGAAGTCTCGCAGCCCGATGCAGCCCGGGCACACTCCGAGGGGGTTCTGCTTCTGGAGGTGCCTCGAAGGATACCAGGGGTGGTCGCCTCTGAAAACTGTCTGCGATTTTAAATTACTGGTTAAAAACAACATGGAATAGAAAAACTACAAAAACATACAAAAACAAACATCAAACGTAGATCAACCAACTGAAATCAGCACAAACCACACTACAAACTTTCATTGATCTTCACCTATGACATGCAGAACCTGGCAGAGGGATCAGATCTTAATACATTTTTAAGGCAAAATGCACGTGAAGCCATCCAAGAGCCAAACGCTAACGGCTCGCCCTCGCTTGGCTTCCAGCCTCATCTGGCCATGTCTGGGTCCCCCCAAAATCCAGTGACTTCATTTGGTCCTTTAGAAAGCAACTCAAGTAAGATCAAGTAACCATTCACTGATTATAACATATTGTAAATATATTCTAACACATTATAACCTTCCACGCTGGATGACGTGTTTTGGAGACATGCTTTGCCTAAACAGACTGACAGCTTGCGGTGGATCTCAATCCGGGCTTCCACACCAAGCTGCTTGTGGAGACTGGTGGATGCTCGTCTGCACCTGGTGCTGATTGAGCTGATGGCGTTGGCATTAAACGATATTAAACGTTCAAAGATGTTCAAAGATGTTCAAAGATGTTCAAAGATGTTCAAAGGCATCCAACCACACCAAGCTTTCAACTTCCAAAGAACTCTTTGGTGCTTCCATGTGGTTCCAATCCCAAGAGACTTGGGATAACTTGGGATCATGTTCTCAAGGCATGTCCCTGGTCGCACCAACCTCCTGACGGCGCAAGCTCTGGCTTCTGCAGGCCTGGTCTTTTTCATTCGTATCCTCTGGAAAAAAAGACATCTGGCAGTGGAAAATCCACCGGTTACACATGGTTTTCCTTGAAAGTCCATGGGGCAAACTGCAATTTCTGACCCCACCTCAGAAAAGCAATACGCATGGACGGAACAAAACCATCTAATCCTGGTCATGAACTTCGAACTTTGACTTTGTCAGCTGCACAAAGAGTCTTACACTGATCAAAGCTGCGAGAGCTTCCCAAACGATTCTTGAAAGCAGTGAGTCAATCAGTCAATCCACAAATCTCTAAGAAGCAGTTTTGGCAGCCTGAATTTCCACATATTTCCACCAGTTAATTGTTTCGTGCTTTATGTTTTGTAACAAATCCATCGCACCTGCGCCAATGGAAGGCTCACAGTGGAGAGGCGCCGCGGCCTCTCTAACTTGACAACTCCAAAATAGTGGTTGAGTGGTTGAGTGATTGATGATATGTTGTGATATCATCCCAACCAAATATTAGTTAATTAAGTGGTGATAAACAGGCTACCTACCAATAGTTTTGATCATCTCATCAACCGCTGCGAAGAATTAGTGTATGATGATATATCCCCACCTAGGACGCATAATCTTTTAAAACGCTTCGACTTCCACACTGGGGTGCAACCAACAATCCGGGCATACTTGTGGGGATACAGTTACAGCAACCAATCACCTCGGGTGTTTCCACCTAAAATCTTTGGTTGGTGGTTGAGCATTTCATCGAAGAAAACATAATCAACTGGGTAACTCAACGCCAATGTACAACTTCATCGCTTCTAGATAAGATATGACCAGGCATGATAAGCTTGTAGAAACATTGGCTGCGAGAACTTCCACTGCGGCGTATGCTAAGATGTCATTCGCTGCTTGGAACTCCAACTGGTCGCCCAGCTTCCCAAGCCTTCCCACTTCACTCAGATTCTGCTCAGAAGGCAGTTTCGACCAAAGCATCTCTGCCTCTGCACACAAATGCAAAGGCATGCATCGCAACCTAAGAAACTATTCCAAATGTTCCAAGAGATTTGCTTGATTCTGAACCCAAGCATCTATCCGCGTGATCACAGATTCAGCGCGAGTCTGATACAACCTGAATTGCATCATTTTGCATCTACTCTTCCGGACTGCATCATGCTGCATCTCAAGAAAGGTGAAGGATCTTATTGGGAGGAAGTACCATCAAGGCCGTCAAATTTTAAAAAGCCAAACTGAACTCCAAACCAACCAAAATGTATCATAGCTTCTTTAACTGCAGCAAACCATTTTTGATGTGTATGATGTGTATGACAAACACGCCACCGACCAGGGACCGACCTTTCGCAGCTCTTCTTCCACTTGGCGTCGTTGCTCACGAAGTTCTTCCAACTGGCGGAGCCAAGTCAACTGAAGCTGCGCAAATCCAAAGATTGTCCAATTGGCATAAAAATCATCCCTATAATTCGGTGAATGTTGGGATAATCATCCCAATAATTTGGCCAATTGAAACAGTTTTCGGATTCCATCCCAATAATTTGGGGGTGATTATCCCAACATCCCCCAAGCGCAAGTCGATCTGAACATTTCTACAAAAACCAGCCACCGGTCTAGATCCTTTCCCAGCTCTCTCTCTCTCTCTCTCTTTCCCACTCTTGTTGGTTGCCACATTGTTTCTTGGGCAGGTATTTTGCTTGGATTTGGGTGGAATTTCAATGGCATTTCCCGAAACAGGGGCGTTCACCCCTCAGGAACCCCGATTTCACCTCTGGAGCGACAGGCTGCAGCTCCTGGGATCATTTGACACCGCTTCATCTCAAATCAGCCCTCCAACCAAGATCCATCAAGATCCTCCGATTTTTCACCTATCAAGATGAGCCTGAAAAAAGGAGTGTGTCATCATGCCTCATGCAAGGTAAAAAAAAAGTCCAAGATCCATCAAGATCCCCCGCTTTTCAGTGGCTTCACCCAGAAGCCGCCTTCCGAAGAGCCGCGGCTTCCGCCTGGCACTCACTCAGGTCCTGGAATCTGGGGTGAACGGAACTGCCAAAGGAGATAGGAAGGTCATAGTAGTCATATTCATTGGTGGACATATAACCAACTGTATATATATATATGTGTGTGCTAAATATGATCTAGTACATAACACGATGTAAATGATGATGTGACATTATGTACATATATGTACACATAGGAATTCATCGTATGTTAAAATCATGACTTGCCAGAAGTGTTGATTTGAAAAGTGCACAGCAGGCACTATCAGAAAGGTAAACGTCCACAAGGCAAAAATGACCGCCATAGATTCAGCACCTCTGAGAGCTCTGAGTCAAATTTTCAGCTGGCTAAGCCATGAGGATAGCATCAACATACAAATAGATGCTTGCATTCTCATCCAAATGCTGGTAAGTACATGTAAGTATTATAGAATGCTTCCAAAATGCTACACACATTTTTAAAGCTATCAACGACATAAACATGGAAATCATAGAATACGGATTCCCCCCAGTCTTCCTCCGTCAGCGATGCGATTCGTGCCATCTGGGCGGTGTCGGCAGCACACAGCTGCTCCGCCCGCGCATGGCATGTGTCTCTTTCCTGCTGGGAAGGACTGGCAGGACACCTGGTGCCATATCCTCTACATACCAATTGATGGTGAGATATTTTTGCCACTTACATCCAATGATATATTCATGAACATTTATGCTACTGTACTTATAGTATGTCCCATGATATATTTTGGATCTACACCCATCAAAAATAGGTATCTGTGCTACCCTTTGGAAGATCTTTCCCCCATACTTTCGACAGTTTTCCAAGTGTTTTCAAACATGCGGCACCAAAGTCCATCAAAAAAATATGTTTCCCCAATCTTGATGGTGAATACTCATGTGCTTTGGACACCATTTTCATCTATATATGTATATAATATATGTATCATATCCTAATAGTTGTTCGTTGATGCTGGTCATACTTGCGATACAATCTGGGTCTGAAAATAGGCTACCCCAAAAAGTGGTTGATCAGAATTTCCTCCATTGGAAATTGCAATGAAGTATCATTAAACTTCATATGTTGGGGCATAATATGGCATATGGTATATATATATAGTATAGTATATATAGAAAATAATATGTATATATATATACACAATGTATACATATATATATATACAACTAAAGCGTACAACATTATTTGATCCTTTTCATGCCATGCACAAATTAGGGTCGTCCCCTATCGGTTGTGAGGATTCCTGCGTTCTCAGATTTTGAGGTGACTCATGCAAAACAGGGGTATCGGTTTAGGGTCGTCCCCTATCGGTAATGAAGGTTTTTGCACACCCCTCAGCAAGGCCAAAGCATTCCCCCCCCTTTTAAGGGGGGGTCGGGTGGTGGGTAAAAATTGAAATATTTCGAAAAGGGTGTGTGTGTCCCCCCCCACACATAGAAATATTTCAGCTAAAAAGGCTAAAAATATCTGGTTTATGATGGTCTCTCCAGAGCCTGGTTGAATGCATGCATGTATATATATATATATATTTATATGTATGTATCTATGTATGTATGTATGTATGTTTGTATGTTTGTATGTATGTACGTACGTCGAAAATGAAAAGGTTTGCCATACCATCTCTGGGCTAAAATGTGGCATCCGGAGGACCCCCCCCACTTCTGTTGGAAGCCCAAAAACATGTGGGGGGGTATATTTCATGTGGTCAGGTGAAATATTTCTGAGAAATTTCTTGTCCTACCCCCCTAAATATTCCAGAGTTAAAGGGGGGGATGCCAAAGCGAAGCAAAACTAAATTAGCATTAGTATTATAAAAAATGGTCGACTTAGTCATATATAATATGTATATATATAGTATATGTATAGGTATCCATGTATATATATATATATGTATATGCACACCACGTTTTCAGATAACCCATAATAGATCATGATACACCCATCTCGATTCACCCATGGTCTGCCAGTGTTACCCGTCCAGCTGACGCGCCTTGGCCATCTCCATGATCTCCAACCGCATCGCTTCCATGCGCGGCTCAACTTCCTGGCCGTGATCTTTTTTGTTGAGATTTTTTTTCACGAAAGATTGATGTCCTGTCCAAATTTTTGCATCCAACCATCAAAACCCAGTTGGCTCTTGAAATTTCATTCTGTACCGTAAACTCATTGGGAAAAGAGTTCGCAATTTGGCTAGGCAAACCGCGGCCTCCAACGCATCACATTTTGCACGCAATTCTTCTGCTTGGGCTTTGTACTCCTCCTCCTCAAGCTCCGGATGAGGGAACCACGATCACCGCTCCAGGGAACCATCTGGATGTGGGTCAAGTATGGTCAAGGTAGGAACAAAAACTGGGGCAACACTGAAATGACAAAATTTATCCAAACTTCTATCCAAATCTGTGAGGGTTGGGGTCTTGAATTATCTTTTATTTAGATCTTGACTTGGGCCAATTCTCCACATGGGTCCTTGGCCATCTCGGATTCAGCCTTCTCCTTCCACCTCTGCAACTCCTGCAGCACAAGCTATCTGGGGGCACCGTGGGCATTTCGTCTCATCACAATTGAAGGTTTCGTTGTTAAAGTCAATGCATCTCCCAACGTCTTTCCTCAGAGACCGAAAGTTATTGTCTCTTTCCTGTGGAAACAGCTAGGTGTTTGGCCATCACACATCGTTTGTTTCGCATGAAGCAGAACTTGGTAAACTCATCCAACAGTGCAACATATTGAAGTCAAACCTTCTATCCACTTCTTTCAACAAAGTAATTTCTCTTGCTGTATGTACGACCGAAAGTTCTCCGTCAACCGCCGAAAACATCTGGAATTAAGGAAATTCACAGAGGTAAACCAAGTGAGGTATGCTCATGTATGTTTCATATATCTGTCCATTGCCATGTTTGTTGAAACTGTATAAAGGGAATTCAAGGGATTCAATAGGGTACAAACCATTGAAGCAACACCATAGCTCAACATGGGGTGCCTCTCTCGTCTCTGGCCTGGTGAGAGCATCTACTGCCGCATGGCCCACATGTCAACTCTTCCAAACACGGATAGCATGTGGCATGCACAACGCAGAACGTATCCCCTGTACAGTATTTAGTCCTTGAGGAACATTGTGGGTGCCAAGTGTGCAAGTGAGTTTGGGTCCTCGAAACCAATCCCTTGGCACACGCACACACAGACACTGTTTGCATAATCTTCCAAACGATTGTCATTTTCTGCAATCCAAGATATAACAGTCAAAGAGATTAACCATGATTAAACCCAAACATGCAAAATGCGACATGAACAAGTGTATATACACGAAACGTCGATAGCAAGAAGCAAACCAGTGCAAACCCCTGGCGCTCTGTTCTGATGTTAAAACACCTTCAACTACACCCAGGTGCCCTTAGCAAGAATAGACATCTCTGCCTCGTATTCTTCTACCAGACCACGCATTCGGGTAATCTCTTCGCTGCATTCGTCGCGCTCCTGCAAAAGTGAAACGAACCATGAGCATCAAAAAGTAAAAATCAGCCGGTTAGCCTTTCAAACATTAATTCTGTCTGGACTGAGATGCATGAATCTAAGTGGGAGTTCGGACAAATAAAGCCAGCTATTGCATGCTCTCACTAGAGCAGCCAAAAATGCATCATAACCAAAGGGATACCAACAGGCTCAAAACTTTCAAGCTCCTTGGAAATCAGAGTGATTTCTTCAGGCTGTTCTTCTTGAACTTTCTGGAGATCGTTCACTCGGGCTCTGGAGTGATCCAGCTCCTGCACGTTCGGATCACAACTATTGGGCATTTTGGGAGCTTCCAAAGGCCTTTGCACACATGTACGATATTGTATGATCATTCTACAATGAACGATCAATCTGCGAAGCAGTGTGACTGAGACGCTATAGATTTTGGCATTGTATATTATTATTGGATATTGCTGGCCAGCAAGACAAATCTATTTCCCTGGATTGGGAATGTCCCAAACAGTGCCATAGAACGACCTATAGCTATATTACAGTGTTCTCATTTGAAACTGGAAACAACCTGACTGTCCTTAGCAAGCTGGGATATCTCTGCCTCGTATTTTTCATCCAGACCACGCATTCGGATAACCTCTTCGCTGCATTCGTCGCGCTCCTGCGAAAGGGACACGAAACATCAGCATCAGAAAAAATGAGCCGGTCAGCCTTTGAGAATTGCTTCTATCTGGACGGAGATTCATGAGTCTGAGTGGGAATTTACAAAAATAAGGACGGTTCTTACATGATCAGCCGATATTGCAAAACCACAGGGATACCAAAGGCTCAAAGCTTTCAAGCTCCTTCGAAATCCGAATGATTTCTTCAAGTTGTTCTTCTTGAGTTTTCTGGAGATCGTTTGCTCGTGCTCTGGAGTGATCCAACTCCTGCATGTTCGGATCAAGACTTGGGCATTTTGGGAGTTTCCAAAGGCTATTGCACACATGTATGATATTGATATTATTGATTGATATTGTATCATGCATCTACAATAAACAATCTGCAAATAATTAAATGTGACTGAACCGCTATATAGATGTTGTCATTGTATATTATCATTGTTGAATATTGCTGGCCAGCAGGACACATATATTTCTCTTGATTCGGAATGTCCCAAGCAGTGCCATAGAACGACCTATAGCTATATTACAGTGTTCTCATTTGAAACTGGAAACAACCTGACTGTCCTTAGCGAGCTGGGACACCTCTGCCTTGTCTTTTTCTTCGAGAGCATGTATTCGGGCAACTTCGCTGTATTCGTCCCGCTCCTGCAAAAGTGAAACGAAACATCACCATCACAAAGTATAGAAAAACAGCCGGTCAGCCTCTCAAAAATTGATTCAGTCTGGACTGAGATGCGTGAGTCTGAGTGGGAATTGGAAAAATAAGGGCAGTTCTTTCATGCTCTCACAACAGCAGCCAATAATGCACCATAACCAAAGGGATACCAACAGACTCAAAACTTTCAAGCTCCTTGGAAATCCGAGTGATTTCTTCAGGCTGTTCTTCTTGAGCTTTTTGGAGATTGTTCACTCGGGCTCTGGAGTGATCCAACTCCTGCACGTTCGGATCATTCACAACTATTGGGCATTTTGGGAGCTTCCAATGGCCTTTGCATACATGTACGATATTGTATGATCATTCTACAATGAACGATCAATCTGCAAAGCAGTGCGACAGAGACGCTATAGATTTTCGCATTGCATATCATAATTAGATATTGCTGGCCAGCAAGACAGATCTATTTCCCTGGATTCGGAATGTTTAAAAAGTGCCATAGAACGACCTATAGCTAAATTACAGTGTTCTCATGTGAAACTGGAAACAACCTGACTGTCCTTAGCGAGCTGGGATATCTCTGCCTCGTATTTTTCATCCAGACCACGCATTCGGATAATCTCTTCGCTGCATTCGTCGCGCTCCTGCGAAAGCGACACGAAACATCAGCATCAGAAAAAATGAGCCGGTCAGCCTTTGAGAATTGCTTCTATCTGGACGGAGATTCATGAGTCTGAGTGGGAATTTACAAAAATAAGGACGGTTCTTACATGATCAGCCGATATTGCACAACCAAAGGGATACCAAAGGCTCAAAGCTTTCAAGCTCCTTCGAAATCCGAATGATTTCTTCAAGTTGTTCTTCTTGAGCTTTCTGGAGATCGTTTGCTCGTGCTCTGGAATGATCCAACTCCTGCATGTTCGGATCATTGACAAGACTTGGGCATTTTGGGAGCTTCCAAAGGCGTTTGCACCCAAAGCAATGTGACTGAACCCCTATATAGATGTTGTCATTGTATATTATCATTGTTGAATATTGCTGTCCAGCAGGACACATATATTTCTCTTGATTCGGAATGTCCCAAACAGTGCCATAGAACGACCTATAGCTATATTACAGCGTTCTCATTTGAAACTGGAAACAACCTGACTGTCCTTAGCGAGCTGGGACATCTCTGCCTTGTATTTTTCTTCCAGAGCATGCATTGGGGAAACTTCGCTGCATTCGTCGCGCTCCTGCAAAAGTGAAACGAACCATGAGCATCAAAAAGTAAAAATCAGCCGGTCAGCCTTGGTTTTTTTTTCTGTCCGGACTTAGATGCAGGAGTCTGAGTGGGAATTGGAAAAATAAGGGCAGTTCTTTCATGCTCTCACAAGAGCAGCCAATAATGCACCATAACCAAAGGGATACCAACAGACTCAAAACTTTCAAGCTCCTTGGAAATCAGAGTGATTTCTTCAGGCTGTTCTTCTTGAGCTTTCTGGAGATCATTCGCTCGGGCTCTGGAGTGATCCAACTCCTGCATGTTGGGATCATTCACAAGACTTGGGCGGCTTGGAGCTTCCAAAGGCTTTTGCACACATGTATGATAATGTATGATGTTGTGTGATCATTCTAAAATGAACGATCAATCTGCGAAGCAGTGTGACTGAGACGCTATAGATTTTCGCATTGCATATCATAATTAGATATTGCTGGCCAGCAAGACAGATCTATTTCCCTGGATTCGGAATGTCCCAAAAAGTGCCATAGAACGACCTATAGCTATATTATAGTGATCTCATGTGAAACTGGAAACAGCTTGACTGTCCTTAGCGAGCTGGGATATCTCTGCCTCGTATTTTTCATCCAGACCACGCATTCGGATAATCTCTTCGCTGCATTCGTCGCGCTCCTGCGAAAGGGACACGAAACATCAGCATCAGAAAAAATGAGCCGGTCAGCCTTTGAGAATTGCTTCTATCTGGACGGAGATTCATGAGTCTGAGTGGGAATTTACAAAAATAAGGACGGTTCTTACATGATCAGCCGATATTGCAGAACCAAAGGGGTACCAAAGGCTCAACGCTTTCAAGCTCCTTCGAAATCCGAATGATTTCTTCAAGTTGTTCTTCTTGAGCTTTCTGGAGATCGTTCGCCCGTGCTCTGGAGTGATCCAACTCCTGCATGTTCGGATCATTCACAAGATTTGGGCATTTTGGGAGCTTCCAAAGGCTTTTGCACACATGTATGATGTTGATTGATATTGTATGATCATGCATCTACAAAAAAGATCTGCAAAGCAATGTGACTGAGCCGCTATATATATATTTTTATGTTGTCAGTGTATATTATCATTGTTGAATATTGCTGGCCAGCAGGACACATATATTTCTCTTGATTCGGAATGTCCCAAACAGTGCCATAGAACGACCTATAGCTATATTACAGCGTTCTCATTTGAAACTGGAAACAACCTGACTGTCCTTAGCGAGCTGGGACATCTCTGCCTTGTATTTTTCTTCCAGAGCATGCATTGGGGAAACTTCGCTGCATTCGTCGCGCTCCTGCAAAAGTGAAACGAACCATGAGCATCAAAAAGTAAAAATCAGCCGGTCAGCCTTGGTTTTTTTTTCTGTCCGGACTGAGATGCAGGAGTCTGAGTGGGAATTGGAAAAATAAGGGCAGTTCTTACATGCTCTCATAATGCACCATGACCTAAGGGATGCCAACAGGCTCAAAACTTTCAAGCTCCTTGGAAATCCGAGTGATTTCTTCAGGCTGTTCTTCTTGTTGGAGATTGTTCACTCGGGCTCTGGAGTGATCCAACTCCTGCACGTTCGGATCATTCACAGCTATTGGGCATTTTGGGAGCTTCCAAAGGCTTTTGCACACATGTATGATAATGTATGATATTGTGTGATCATTCTACAATGAACGATCAATCTGCGAAGCAATGTGACTGAGACGCTATAGATTTTGGCATTGCATATCATAATTGGATATTGCTGGCCAGCAAGACAGATCTATTTCCCTGGATTCGGAATGTCCCCAAAAATGCCATAGAATGACCTATAGCTATATTATAGTGACGTCTCATGTGAAACTGGAAACAACCTGACTGTCCTTAGCGAGCTGGGATATCTCTGCCTCGTATTTTTCATCCAGACCACGCATTCGGATAATCTCTTCGCTGCATTCGTCGCGCTCCTGCGAAAGGGACACGAAACATCAGCATCAGAAAAAATGAGCCGGTCAGCCTTTGAGAATTGCTTCTATCTGGACGGAGATTCATGAGTCTGAGTGGGAATTTACAAAAATAAGGACGGTTCTTACATGATCAGCCGATATTGCAGAACCAAAGGGGTACCAAAGGCTCAACGCTTTCAAGCTCCTTCGAAATCCGAATGATTTCTTCAAGTTGTTCTTCTTGAGCTTTCTGGAGATCGTTCGCCCGTGCTCTGGAGTGATCCAACTCCTGCATGTTCGGATCATTCACAAGATTTGGGCATTTTGGGAGCTTCCAAAGGCTTTTGCACACATGTATGATATTGATTGATATTGCATCATGCATCTGAATCTACAATAAACAATCTGCAAAGCAATGTGACTGAACCCCTATATAGATGTTGTCAGTGTATATTATCATTGTTGAATATTGCTGGCCAGCAGGACACATCTATTTCTCTTGATTCGGAATGTCCCAAGCAGTGCCATAGAACGACCTATAGCTATATTACAGCGTTCTCATTTGAAACTGGAAACAACCTGACTGTCCTTAGTGAGCTGGGACATCTCTGCCTTGTATTTTTCTTCCAGAGCATGCATTGGGGAAACTTCGCTGCATTCGTCGCGCTCCTGCAAAAGTGAAACGAACCATGAGCATCAAAAAGTAAAAATCAGCCGGTCAGCCTTGATTTTTTTTTCTGTCCGGACTGAGATGCAGGAGTCTGAGTGGGAATTGGAAAAATACGGGCAGTTCTTACATGCTCTCATAATGCACCATGACCTAAGGGATGCCAACAGGCTCAAAACTTTCAAGCTCCTTGGAAATCCGAGTGATTTCTTCAGGCTGTTCTTCTTGTTGGAGATTGTTCACTCGGGCTCTGGAGTGATCCAACTCCTGCACGTTCGGATCATTCACAGCTATTGGGCATTTTGGGAGCTTCCAAAGGCTTTTGCACACATGTATGATAATGTATGATATTGTGTGATCATTCTACAATGAACGATCAATCTGCGAAGCAATGTGACTGAGACGCTATAGATTTTGGCATTGCATATCATAATTGGATATTGCTGGCCAGCAAGACAGATCTATTTCCCTGGATTCGGAATGTCCCCAAAAATGCCATAGAATGACCTATAGCTATATTATAGTGATCTCATGTGAAACTGGAAACAACCTGACTGTCCTTAGCGAGCTGGGATATCTCTGCCTCGTATTTTTCATCCAGACCACGCATTCGGATAATCTCTTCGCTGCATTCGTCGCGCTCCTGCGAAAGGGACACGAAACATCAGCATCAGAAAAAATGAGCCGGTCAGCCTTTGAGAATTGCTTCTATCTGGACGGAGATTCATGAGTCTGAGTGGGAATTTACAAAAATAAGGACGGTTCTTACATGATCAGCCGATATTGCAAAACCACAGGGATACCAAAGGCTCAACGCTTTCAAGCTCCTTCGAAATCCGAATGATTTCTTCAAGTTGTTCTTCTTGAGCTTTCTGGAGATCGTTCGCCCGTGCTCTGGAGTGATCCAACTCCTGCATGTTCGGATCATTCACAAGACTTGGGCATCTTGGGAACTTCAAAAGGCTTTTGCACACATGTATGATGTTGATTGATATTGTATGATCATGCATCTACAAAAAAGATCTGCAAAGCAATGTGACTGAGCCGCTATATATATATTTTTATGTTGTCATTGTATATTATCATTGTTGAATATTGCTGGCCAGCAGGACACATATATTTCTCTTGATTCGGAATGTCCCAAGCAGTGCCATAGAACGACCTATAGCTATATTACAGTGTTCTCATTTGAAACTGGAAACAACCTGACTGTCCTTAGCGAGCTGGGACATCTCTGCCTTGTATTTTTCTTCCAGAGCATGCATTGGGGAAACTTCGCTGCATTCGTCGCGCTCCTGCTTAAAAGTGAAACAAACCATGAGCATCAACAAGTAAAAATCAGCAGGTTAGCCGCCTTTCAAAAATTAATTCTGTCTGGACTGAGATGCATGAGTCTGAGTGGGAATTGGAAAAATAAGGGCAGTTCTTTCATGCTCTCACTAGAGCAGCCAATAATGCACCATAACCAAAGGGATACCAACAGACTCAAAACTTTCAAGCTCCTTGGAAATCAGAGTGATTTCTTCAGGCTGTTCTTCTTGAGCTTTCTGGAGATCATTCGCTCGGGCTCTGGAGTGATCCAACTCCTGCATGTTGGGATCATTCACAAGACTTGGGCGGCTTGGAGCTTCCAAAGGCTTTTGCACACATGTATGATAATGTATGATGTTGTATGATCTCGTATGATGTTGTATGATCATGCATCTACAAAAAAGATCTGCAAAGCAATGTGACTGAGCCGCTATAGATACTGCCATTGTAGAATATTGCTGGCCTGCAGGAAATTTATTTTTTGGGATTCGGACTGTCCCAAAAAGTGCCATAGAAGACAAAAGGGGGGTCGAACCAAAGATGTTCCTACCACAACCCTTTACCATAAACAAAACAAGTAGAACCGCAAGCACACTTTTGTGCACTTGAGCCATAGGGTCGGTAGCATACTTAATTATACCCCTTTACCCAGGTGGTTGTTAGGGTGAAGGGGAAAGTATCTAGCTCTACCTAGGGCTACTCTCCTTATCTAACGCTTCTAGATAAGGGGTGCTATTCTGTACATGATTGGAATAGCTAATTGGTGTGTTGGACTCATAGCTAAGGCAAAACTACCTACACTGGACCTACTACCTATGCTATACATGGTGGGGCTCAGGGGTCGGTATATTTCAACTCCCCCCTCGCCTGTTCCACACGCACTGCGCATTGGCAGTATCCTAAGCAACTACTGTCGCGTGAACGGGCGTTCACAGCGACCTATGCTTTGGATTTAAGGTCTAAGGGGAGGTCAGTACGTATTCCTAGAAGGATTAGTGCTGCTGCCCATTTGTGTGGAGGCAATGCCTTGGTGAAAATGTCTGCCGCCTGGTCATCGGTGTGGGTGTACTCTATTTCGGCAGAGTCATCTCTGAAGACTTCAGACAGGCAAGACAAATTAACCTTGTGTGTTCTAGTTATATGGCGAAGCTTGGGACTATATCCTTTCTTCACAACTAGGATTGTTGCTTGATTATCTTCGTGGACCTTAAGGGTTACGGAGCGTGCAAGCAACAGCTCCCATAACTGCAAGGCAGGCAAGCCTTCTTGATAAAGCGAATGTGCTAAACTAACAACCTCGCTTTCCGTGGTCGATCTAGAAGTGGATGTTTGGCGCTTGCTAATCCATGCAAGTGGGAAGAAGGAACTAGGGCCAGTTAAAACCAAAAAGCCACCAGAGGTTGAGCGTGCAGTGGATCTGTCGCCGGCGAAGTCGGCATCGACAAACAGTCTGAGCTCTAGGTCTTCAGGCTTGTCCTGAATGGTACCTACTAACCTGTAGTGTGGTGTTGAGGCTATATACTGGATTAATCTTAGGACCTTCTTATCATCCCCCCTAGACCACGACTGGACCTTTGTGGCCAGATCATTGATAGGCTTGATGATGTCGGGACGTGCAAGTCTACCTAACCAAAGGGCTTTCATCAAAATCTTACATGCGTTTGGAGCTAATTCCCCTTTAGTTTCATCATCTTCAATGGTGATGGATCCCTCGGGTGGAAATGGCGTGGCTGCATGCTTGAGTTTGGTGACACCAGTTATTGACTTATACAAATCTACGGTCTGCTGAGCGTAGTCTGCCATATCAAAAACCATGCCATCTTGGGCTTGGAAGGCTGCACATTTTTCATGACCTTCGGTCTTGGATAGTGGGGTAACAACATGGTTGCGTCCAAGAATCCTATAGATGGGCTCTGGGGGTTCTATGTCTACCACAGAAGTTAACTTACTCCAGAATGCATCATGCTGGTCGGCGGGGCCAGCTAGAGTTAAATCGTCTACATAAGTTGACAGAAGTAACTTTGTATCTGGGAAGAAAAAGTTTCCTGGGTATTCTGGAACTTCCTGTCCACCAAGGTTCTTGATGATGACTTTCAGGTGTTGTTCCCACAGGCCTCCGGCATCAGGATGACCGTATAAGGCTTTAATTAAGAGGACTACGGGCTTAACAAACTGTTGCTTCCAATACTTAGGGCGGAGCTCCGGGGGAAGCTCAATCCAGGTTTTGTATTTGGAAGATAACAGCGCTTGGACGTAAGCTTTGACTGCGTCTGCAGCCGTCGCGCGGTTACCCGGCAGCGACCCATACGCCAGGCAGGCGTTTAGCCCTTGGACGGAGGTGGGATTTGCGCCGAGTTCTTGGTAAACCGCGGCTGCACCATGTTCGTCCTTTGCGCAGTCTCCTCTGTACACAATGCGCCCCTTCATTTTGTGAAGGTGGTCTGCAAGCTCGTAGAATTTAATGGACGCGATGGTCATGAGCTGACCAAAGTGCACTGACACACCCGAAGCCTTAGCTTCTTTGCGTACATCTTCCTTCTCGCGGACCGAGCTAAGATCCCAAGTACCAGCCTTAACCAAACCATCGGCTTCGGCGCGGATTGCCTCGAGGGCCTTGGGATTGGACAGCATCTCTGCACGGGATAAGAGCTTAGTGACCATAGCTTTGACCTCAGGCGTTGGCGCCTTTGGGTCTTCCAGGTGGAAGGCTTGGGCGATCAATTGTTCATGGTCAAGAAGTTCTGTAACCAACCTATTAGCAGTGGGGTCTGATTCAACAGCTAGGGCTAGATCTTCAAAACCAGCTAATGGGGATACATGCTTAAGGTGCTGCTCAATTTCCCTATGGGGTTGAGGCTCGCTAGTTGCCGGTCGGCAAGGCATAGCAGGAACGGGCTGCTGGGCACATTTTGAGGGATACAAAGCTTGCGCAATTAAATTAGTCATTTGGGGCGGATACATTGCGGAGCGAGTGGTCTCAGCTCCCTCACATCTGGAATGAGGTTGCTGGCATCGACACCGCATATCTTGAAACGCCCCTACAATTCGGGGAGAAGTGGTCTTGAGCTTCCATGGCTTTTTGATGGGATAACCATTTCTGTCGGTCAAACCTACGGTACAACCTTCAAAACCAACGGTCATAAACTGGGGATGCTTCTCAAAGAATGCTACAACGTCAGGCCTCTTCCAGCCAGAGCAAGGTCTTGGCCACTCAAACGTTACAGTACCACCATAATTGAGAACCCTTTCAGCGCGTTTGGAAAAACTCTTAAACAACCGTTTGGACTCTTTGATCTGGTGGGCAAGCTTCCTAATGAATGCGGCACCACCCCTCTTCCTATTGATGTACTGCCAAGGGGATCCGGATGTGCAAGGGATAGAGGCCCACATATGTGGAGGTGCAACCTTAGCGGCTTCATCTATCTGATAGTCTAGTTGCTCACATTGTGACTCATCTCCCAGGTCTATCCTATCCTTACAAAGTCTAACATGATTAATGCCATATTCTTGGTAAAACCCATCTGGGAGTCCTCAGAACAAGCAAACTCAAACATGGTTGACTTGGCATTGGGTCTGGAAGCTTTCTTGGCAGCTTTCCGGCTCCTACGATTATCGCGGTTAGTTGGCTTACCTACAGCGGGGCAACCAAAAACAGGCAGCGACTTTTGACATAGGTCGGAACATCGATTGGCAACTTGGGGAAGAATAGCTACACCAGAAACGGAAGCAGCAGGTTCGGCTGGAGCGCTGGGTTCGGACGACCCTGGTACCTCACCTCTTATGAGAGTTTCTTCAAAGAGCGCCCTGTCCTCAGCGGAGAGGTGCGATGGTATGGGGTCAGGATCAGGCAGGTCCTCACCCTGGAAGATGATGCCATGTGCTTCATCATCCTTGTCTTCCGCTTCTGTCTCACTTGTGGGAGGTGGAGCTTTCTTCTCTTTTTCGGCATCTTTTTCTTTCTCAACCAACATTGAGAAGCGGGCTCTGCACTCATCAGTGTGCACGCGTGAATGGCCAGTGCAGCCTTTGCAACCAGGGGTCTCTTTCCACTTAAGGATACGGTCTACGGTTATATAAACAGAACGACTTTTGAGACCTGGTGTAGAGGGTGAGGCTATTCCGCCCTCCTTGGGGAAGGGCACATCCTTTAAGGCATATTCAGGCAACTTAAGATCATCTGGGTTATCCCCCCTGATGAGAGCTTGGTGGCGTGAAAAACCTACTGGAAAAACAGGATCACCTTCAGGGACAAAGATTTCTGCTTCTGGAACATCAACGGCTGAATTCCCACCTCTAGTGCGATACTCTTGGTAATCTAACACCCTTAGGATATTTCTATAGCGGAAACCGGGATCAATCCTCCAACCCAAAAACAGACCAGGTGACATGTTGGGCTCCAAAGTCCTTTTGGTGGGTGACTTCCTACGGTAATACACTAACTGACCAAAGCATAACCTCATGCCATCAAACTTATTCCTAGTAAGCGACTCCCATTGGGTTTTATCGGGGTCAGCTATTGAAGGCTTGTCGAATGACATTGAAAGGCAAGCATATGGATAGCTATATGTGTGATACTCATAGGGAAGGCCAGATTGGAGGTGAATAGTGCGGCAACATTCTTTCTCCTCTCGAACATCTCTCTCGAGGATGGCATTGTGGGGCCACCTGTTCGGCAACGAGGTTTCCGGAACCATGCCTACGGCATGTGCCGCCTGCTCAAGCTCGCCTGCTTCGTCCATTTTGATGAACGTTCGGGTGGTGAGCTCTGATCCACGCAATCCTAAGAAATGCCTAAAGTTGCAAGCATGCGCGTCAGCAGTACGTTTAGACAATGGGTATGCAACACGCGCACCGGAGTACGCATCGCGGATGACATGATGCGACCTTATTCCCCCTATACCTACACCCAAGTGTTCGGACCCTTTAGCTAAGATAACATCATCTGTAGCAAGCTGTTCTAGCGGCTGCTTTGGGGGATCAACAAAATCATCGGCTTTGCCATCTTTGACATGTGAAACCCTCATGGCGGTATCTTTTGCTATGTGGCACAAAGGACAGTAGGGATTTTTGGGAAAATGGGTACGCAAATGCTCAGGGCTAGTGGCTTGCTGCTTTAGAATTTCATCCTTAGGCGGCTCACCATCACCTAGCTCTACCAAAAGCTTATCATCCATTGGGTGTTTAGGCTCCGACGCGCTAGGGGGCCCAGCAGCGTCCTCAACAGGCTCGGGATCTAGAACTTCATCTAATTCTGAGGGACTAGGAAGGTCACTAC